GGACGAGTGCTGCCGCCCACGCAGCAGTGCGGGAGGGAAGGGTAGGCAGTACTCGTACCCCCCCCCCACCCCCCCACCACACACACACAATAACCTTGCAACCCCCCCTCCCCCCATGACTCCTTTTTCGGTCAGGACCCCTACAGTTCCAATACCGTGACACTTCAGATTTAACTAGGTGAAATCATGAAACTGATGATTTTTAAAATCCTATGACTGTGAAAATGACCTGTGAATTTGGTAGGGCCCTACGTCTCGGTATTTGCCTGGCTTCAACTTCCAGCCGTTAAAATCTTGATCTGCCTTTCTCTGCTACTTGAAAGAATGTAGTCCCCGTAATTTTCTCCCCAGGTCTGTAATCAAGCGATCTTCTAAAAAGAATCTTCTTCAAAAGGAGATAAATAAGAGGGGAGATGCTAAAAGTCCATAAAATAATTAGACTTGGGACGATTAAGTAAAAGTCGATTTCACTGTACACATACAAACCGATGAGAAAATATTTTCATCAGTGATCACTGAAATTTACGGCTAGGCGAAGGAAGAAAAATACCGCTTGACAACTAAAATTCGACAAAGCCAATATCCTTAAATCAGTTTTGACATGTGCTACTGACAGTTTGTGTTTTAAACGGTTGTAGGTCGTTAGCTTTTTGGACCTCGACTTTTACTGTCATTAAATTATTGCCCAGCTGTGAACATTTGAAATGGGTTACATTTTAATTTTTTTTTTAAATCCATCATTTTGCATAACTGTGAAAATGTAAATGGCTAAAACTTATGAGAGAGGTTAAAAAATAAACATCGATATTATCCATCGGAATGATAAAAAAGAAATCAAATTCTGCTATGCCTCAACATATTGGGATAAAGAAGACAGATTGGGAACTTTTGTTGTATCTGTCTTGAGACAAGAACAAGGGTACAATCCATGAAATGAATTTCCTTTGATCAGGTTTGAATTCGCCACCTTTTCATTTGCACATATTGTTTAACCTTGGTTAACCGGTGGAACTCTTTGCTTCAGGCCAACAATGTAACAAGATTCAAAGGAGGATTGACCGTCTCTATGGAATATCCAGAGTTAGGATAATGAATATTAACGAGTTTTGGAAGGGCAGTTAAACCTACCTCATGCTTCAGGATATAAGTCAATCTCTAATTATCGGCGATCAAGATGAGACATTTGTAGGGAGTAGTTTATCCCCCATCTGTAGGGTTTTTATGCCTTTGTTTGAAGCGTTGAGGATGGTCGGATCTGGTCTGGCTATTCCAGCACTGCACAGAACTGGAAGGGACCTCTTACGCCATGGAGACTAGATCCCCTGCCGTATCGGGCAACCCCGTCAGATAATCCCGTTCTTAAACAGCTGAAGCTCTATCTTCAGACCAGTTAGGTACTCCCCCTCCTCTGAATTCCCAGCCTCCGATCTTGATTTAAACGTTGTGGGTGACAGACAATCCACCACGACCCTTGGTCAGTTGGTCCAGTGTTTAAATATTCTCATAAGAACGACCATACTAGGTCAGACAAAAGGTCCATCTGGCCCAGTATCCTGTCTTCCGACGGGGACCAATGCCACGTGCCCCACGAACAGAACAGAGAATCATCAAGTGATCCATCCCCTTTCGCCCATTCGAAGCTTCTGGCAAACAGATGCTAGGGATGCCATCCTGGCTAATAGCCATTGATGGACCCATCCTCCGTGAACTTCTCTAGTTCTTTTTTGAACCCTGTTATAGTCTTGGCCTTCACAGCATTCCCTGGTGAGGAGTTCCCCAGGTTGGCAGTGCGTTGTGTGAAGAAATACTTCCTTTGGTTTGTTGGAAACCTGCTGCCTATTAGTTGCTTTTGGTGACCCCTAGTCCTCGTGTTATGAGGAGGAATAAATAACACTTCCTGGTTTACTTTCTCCACCCCAGTCATGATTTTAGAGACCTCTCTCATATCCCCCCTTTGTCGTCTCTTTTCCAAGCTGTAGGCCTTTTTCCCCCTCTGATTGTCTCTAGCGTCATCTTCCAGCCATTGGATGGTGTTAGACTTTTCTCTGCTAGATGGAAGAGCCCGTTATGCAGTATTTGTCCCCCAGGTAGATACCTACAGCGATCAAGTCACCCTTTCACCTTCTCTTTGCCAAGCAAAATCGATCAAGCTCTTTGAGTTTCTCAGTCAAAGGCGGATTTTTGAATCATTCTTACGGCTCTTCTGTGACTCCTCTCCGATGGATCATAGAAGAAGATGATTAGGGTTGGAAGAGACCTCAGTTGGTCATCTAGTCCAACCCCCTGCTCAAAGCAGGACCAATCTCAAACTAAATCATCCCAGCCAGGGCTTTGTCAAGCCGGGCCTTAAAAACCTCTAAGGATGGAGATTCCACCACCTCCCTAGGGAACCCATTCCAGTGCTTCACCACCCTCGTCCTTAATTGTGGGCACCACAATGGGACGCAGGATTCAGAGAGCTTTCAGTCAGACGCACACACACACGTTGTGATTTAATATAGAGACAAATGGGGGGTGAGACAATTTTATTGGACCAATTTCCGCTGGCAAAAGAAACGGGATTTTGAGCGTACACCAGGATGCTTGTTGGGTCCCCGAGAGCTCGTCTCTCTCACCGATAGGTATATGACCTCCTCCAGCTCATCTCTCTTGTATCCTGGGAGTGACGTGGCTACAAATGCCGACGGAAGAAGCAGGGAGGCTCCCAAAATTGGTCCAGAATCGATGGATCCCTGTCCGGGAGCGAAACAAATTTGACCAAACCGGCCCCAAAACTGATTCAAGAGAGTCCATGATGGTTGCACCTAGGAATTCGAACTGAGCGGGGACTTATGCTGAGTGCTACTCAGGCCCCGTCCGACTGGGATTGGAGTCCCCCTGGCACTGAGGTGTCCGTCCGTCCCCCCCGCCACCAAGATAGGGATGTTGGCCCAGACGCCCCAACTGGATTTGAACAAGGTCTGGTCAGATCCCAACCAGGGTTCCCCCATTGTGCCAAGTCCCAGCTGGGATCAAGGGTCCCCCGTTACGCTGACAGTGATTTCCCCTATTGTGGGCTGTATTGTTACCCATCCTCTCTCAGTACCCAGCAGAGTGGGGGAAACTGAGGCACAGAAAGGGGGTGGTGTTGTGAGTTGAGGGTCTCTCTGGCATCTGGGGCAGCCCTGACCCTTGTCCCCCTGCTCCCCACAGGCACGTCGGAGCCATGAAGGAAACCATCCAGGCCAAGAAGCTGTGGGGCCCCGGGCTCCGTGAGCCCCACAAGCGGGAGAGGCTGCGCCTGGCGTCCCGGGACTGGGAGGAGCCCGAGCCCCCGGCCCCCAAGCACGGCGGCTGCTTCGAAGGCGGACGTCGGCTGGCCTACACCAAAGAGCAACCCCCAGGCTTCGAGAGCGAGGAGGAAGGCCATGCCGACGACTGGGACTTCCCTCGCGTCTCGGGCTGGGCCCGCAGCAAAACCACCGGGGAGAAGGTGGCCAGGAGTGGAGGCCCGGACTGGCCCTTCGCCGGCGGGGCCGAGGGGCGGCCGCCGCTCCTGGGGGCCACCCGGCGGCGCTGCCAGCTGCGGCGGCGCCAGCGGGCCCGGCGGGCTCTCCGCATGCTGTTGTATTCCAAATGCTCCTCCCTGGCCTTCCCCTGGAAGCTGTGGGGCAAGCTGGCCGGCCGGGGGCGCCGGCGGGGCAGCGCCAAGCAGACTCGCTCCTCCCTCTCGCCCGGCTCCCAGCCCGACGACGACCTGAAAGGCTGCCCCCTGGAGGAGGAGGAGGAGGAGGAGGAGGACTGCCAGGGCGGGGCCAAGCCGGGCCCCTGCCCCTTGCGCTTCCGGCCACGCCCCTCGCCCCGATTGGACTACCACCTGGGCGGGGCCTTCGCCCCCTCGCCCCCCCGGCTCAGCCTGCTGGGGGCACTGATGGGCGAGGAGCCCGGCTCCACCCCGTACCCGCAGTACGCCCAGCTGCAGCGGGCGGACGGCGCCATGGAGGTGGGAGGGGAGGACGGCGCCCGGCTCCCAGCAGAGCGTTCGCCCCCCGGGAGCAGGAGAGAGGCACCAACGCTGGACGGGGAGTCAGGTAACCAGGAGGGGGGCGGGAAGGGGCTATGGCCCATAGGGAATCTCCTTACACCCATCCTCTGCCCCCGCCCAGCGTAACGAGCCCCGTGTCTCCTCTCCCGCCCAGGCCCCGCGGGCGCCCTGCCCAACGGCTTCGCCTCCCTGGACGGCGACCTCAACACCCTGGCTGCCGCCGCCTCCTCGGACCCCAGCATTGTCATCAGCAACGTGTGCAGCATCGGCGGGGCCCACGCGGTCGAGGAGTTCTTCCAGGCCAAGGACGGGCCCGGGGCCCCCCAGAAAGAGGCGCCCCCCGGGGAGAAGGCGGCACAACACAGCCCCCTGCGGGAGGAACACGTCACCTGCGTACAGAGTGAGGCGCTAGGGCGTGGGAGGGGGTGCCCCCCATATAAAGGGGGGGAGAAGGTAGGGGAGGGGCTAGCACAAGAGGACGTTGTGCCAAAATGGGTGTAGCGTTGACCTCCTGCCACAAGGTGTCAGGCTTCATTCAGCAGCCTCGGGGGGGGGCAAAATGGAGGGATTAGGACAGGATGCAGCCATGCCCCCCACATGCGGCTGGGCAGTGCCGCTTTCTGGCTTCCTCCGCTTTGGCAACCCTCAGTGCTTCCCTGCTCAGCTAAGACCCAGAGATAACCAGGCAGCATCACTAGGTTTCAGAGTTAACATCCCATTTGGTTTGTCTGGGTTTCAGGCTGCCTGTCAACTCAGGCAGACAGCCTGCCACGTGGTGCCATGGGGGAGGGTTTGGGATGAGGATCAGTGATGGCAACACGATTGCTTTTCGTATGCAAGCTCAGACGAATCGCAGTCTCTGAGCAAAGCGTCAATGTATAACCAGCCGTCCCACCCCAGAGGTGGCCGCATCTCAGCACCGGGCGAGGGTTCCCCGTGTAACCAGCCGCCCCGCCCCAGAGTTAGCTGCATCTCAGCCCCTGACACTGTCACCTCAGCTGTTCTATCCTGCTGCTTTCGCCCCCCCACAGGCATTCTGGATGAGTTCCTTCAGGCCTACGGCAGCCTGATCCCCGTCAGCACGGACGAGGTTGTGGAGAAGCTAGAAGACATTTTCCAGCAAGAGTTCTCCACGCCACAGAGGTACCCGGGAGGGGTTAGAGCAGGGTGGGGGGGGGCTGGGAGCCAGGACTCCTGGGTTCCATTCTCGGGCCTGCCTCACTTCCCCCCCCCCCCCCTCCGCAGGAAGGGCACAGTGCAGCAGCTGATCCAGTCCTACCAGCGCATGCCAGGCAATGCCATGGTGAGGGGCTTCCGGGTGAATTACAAGCGCCACGTGCTGACCATGGACGACCTGCAGACGCTCTACGGCCCCAACTGGCTCAACGACCAGGTGGGGCGCTCAGCAAGGCCACAGGGGGGCGCTGAGCTGCTGGGAGCGGGGCAGGGAGCCCTCCCCTGGTAGACACCCTGGAGCTTGGGGGCCAGTACAATCTCCGCGCCGGCCGAGGGGTTCCCGGGTAAGTGGCCGCCCCGCCCCAGAGGTGGCTGCATCTCAGCGCCGGGCGAGGGGTCCCCGGGTAAGTGGCCGCCCCGCCCCAGAGGTGGCAGCATCTCAGCGCTGGCTGATGGGTCCCTGGGTAACCAGCCGCCCCGCACCAGAGGTGGCCGCATCTCAGCGCTGGCTGATGGGTCCCTGGGTAACCAGCCGCCCCGCACCAGAGGTGGCTGCATCTCAGCGCTGGCTGATGGGTCCCTGGGTAACCAGCCGCCCCGCACCAGAGGTGGCCGCATCTCCGCGCCGGGCGAGGGGTCCCGGAGGGGGTGTGGTGTCCCTAACCCTCTGTCTTTTCTCACTGTTGCGTGCGCAGGTCATGAACATGTACGGGGACCTCGTCATGGATACGGTGCCAGACAAGGTGAGACCCATTCCCTTAGTTTAGTGATGGCGTCATTCTAAGGAACTGCCACTAGGTGGCAACCCGTATATGATCGGGACTCACCCCTCACTCCGGAGCCTTGGCCCCTGCTACCCCTGGGCTCCCCCCCAGCCCTACCCCGTAACCTCCACTGCTGTAAATCAGTCCCGCCCCATCACTTCAACAGAGCCTTGATATGAGTCAGAGAACCCCCGGCTCGGGGAGGGGAGTGGGGGCTGGTGGGTTAGAGCAGGGGGGGCTGGGAGCCAGGACGCCTGGGTTCTCTCCCCGGCTCTGGGAGGGGAGTGGGGAACGGTGGGTTGGAGCAGGGGGGGCTGGGAGCCAGGACTCCTG